GGGGGGGGGCTTTGTGGAAATATTAGGGGTCTAAACAGCCCCCTGACATTTACCTTTTGAAATAGAAAAATAAATTGAGGACACAGAGTCCTCAATCTCTTTTTCTGCAGCCTCTGTTGTAAATGAATGGAAAGCACTCAGTACAGAGGCTTCCCATTCGTTCAGAAAATATTTACTATCAACCAGTTTCTGAATAGGGAAAAGTCTATGTACTGAGTGCTACTACCCATTCAGAAATGAATTAATGTACAGGAAGTAATGTAAAGCACTTCCTGTTCATTCATAACTGGGGACACATAGTACTTTGTGTTCCCAGTTATTTACAAACACTGAAGTGATCAGCTGATTACTCCAGTGTTTGTACTGCACACAGAGGATCAGTACATATCACAGATATTTACAGCTCCTCCGCTCTCAATCCTGAGCCACTCTTGTAATTGGCTCCTTGACTTTTAGGCTGTAAGCCCTCACAGGCAGGGCTGTCCTTACCATCTTGTCTTTAATTGTATTGTAATTGTAATGTCCTTACATTGTAAAGCGCTGCACTAACTGTTGGTGCTATAAAAATCCTGTATAATAATAATAATAACAACTGAACAAAGCTTGAGGCCATGCTATTAAAATCATCTGAGCACTGACCATTTCTTTTCTTGCTTCTCCCTTGCACAAGGTGCTGTATGACACTGAGAATGATCTCAAAATTATACTAAAGACAGGCCCACCTACCTAGCCCTGATTTAGTGTAATATGAAAAATTACAATAACATGGCCTGTTTAAATATCTGTAGAACAAAACAGTAATAATGTGAAGTCATATATTCAGTGTGTATAGTTAACTGGATCAAAAATTTTTCAGCAGTTTAAACTACATTTTTACTTGCAGAATATTAAAGGGCACCTGTTCCCAGACTATGTACATTGAAGTATTTACATATTCTTAATAAGTAGTCAAAGAGCTTTAAATCTACCCTTCACTGACCTTTATAACTGTGGAGAAATTTATCTTCAAAATGTACAACATAGGTAGTGAAAAATCAGCTTCTCTCTTCTCATTTTCTCCGGAACCCGGCAGGCTGCCAACCTTCTAATGTAAACAAACAGTAGGTGCTGTAAGCTGAGGGAAGGAAGATCACAGCTTCAAATAGTGTGAGGAAGGAGTTTTACCCTATAAGAAGCGCTTTGAGACCCGAGGGTCTGAGCACGGAGGTGAGAGGCTTATTTATCAGAGCACTGGTGTTTTTTATGAGCACTTCAGCAAAAAATACACAAGAAATTACAAGAGTGGGCAGAGTGACGCACAAACAAAGACTAAGAAAACACTTCTTTTTTTGAGAGAGAGCTGCCTGCGTTAAATTAATTTATGGACACTTTGTTTCAA